CTTAAGGAGACAATTATGACTGAAGTGGAGTTGTCTAGATTAAATTTGTATTGAAAAATAGGGTGTTTGTACCCAGTGACACTGCTTGTTAGTCAACATGTTGCCTAGCTTGTTAGCGTATTTATTAATTAACATGATATGGTCTAGATATGGAGAGCAACTCATATTTACAGATGCTATTCCCATGATACAATGCAAGAAATGATCTTAATCCTTGATCTCTGTAATGGTATGTTAATAGAGCACATTTCATTTTGCTTTTGACAAGATATGGCACATAAATATGTGGTGTGGTGAATCAAAAGTGCATTTATATTTATGTTTAGTAAACACAGGGGAGTGGTTAGTGTAGAAACCTTGAAATGCTTCCTAGTGCTTACTCTGCCTGGACTGATGTGATTATAGTAGCTTTGAGCTTTGCTCAGCACCAGTGGTTAATATTTCAGAATCTGCTGAATTTGGGGAGGGGGGTGGGGGATGGATGGGACGGGACGGGACATTAATGGTGCTCATTTACACATGAACTAAGATCAGATCTTTCCATAATACTGTTTTGCATTTTATGAATGTTTCCCAACTCATTGTCCTACAGAGATTCAGATGTGTATGTGTGTGTGTGTAATAAGTGTGACTCGTCAATATGTCTCATTCATATTCTTACATTAACAAAATAAAAATTTTATTAACATGAGAAAAAAATAATGCTAAAAGTCAAAATTAGCATAGAGGTACATCTCAGTACAATGTAAATGTGTCGATTGTGATGGAATTACTGCCATCTCTTGGTATGAAGAAGATGTGTAGTCTTGCTGTGTCTGCTGAATAAACTGTTATTTCTCAAATCCACAAAAAAGATTGTACTGCTGTGATTGTAATTTTGGAACAAACACTGCAATACTGTTAGGCATTTAACCTCAGTTGCTAATGCCAAATTATAGTAATATACTAACTGCAATAAATAACATTTGTCCATTTTTAATGTATTAATAACTTTTATATATTTAATATATATCTTATATTGTATGCTATACATTACAAAAGGCAGGATTAATACAACTGAAAAATTACCTCATTCAATTAAAATGACAGTTTTATGGCTTTTATTTTATCAAGGTTTATTAGCTTGAATATAGCTAGCTAATTAATATATAAATACAAAATAAAGAAATATATGTCAGGAATAGTAACAGTACGACGCTAGAACGCTATGATGAATTAAGATAACTGAAGGTTTTTCTACGGTGGCCGAGAAGTGCAGAACAAATCACAATTCTGAAAACAAAAGAACAAATTACAAATGCAAATGCAAGTCTAAAAAACAAAATAACAATTCAGAAAACACAACAACAATTCAGAAAACATTATAACAAGTCAGAAAACACAATGACAAATTCAAAAACAAAATAACAAGTCAGAATCTGAAAACAAATGAACAAGTCAGAAAACACAACGACAAATCAGACAAACCGGAAAAGGTAGGTATAGTTTGAGACAGCACATTGGTTTGGGATTACTCACCGCTGACTGGACGAGACATCTGTCAATCAACGTATACAGGGAAGAACCAGCCAAAGAACAGCAGAGTCATGGTAGAAAGTTTGGAGATGGTATTAAAGTAGCTCAGTTTAAATGTATTGTATGAATTGCCCTTACTATGGAATAAAAAATACGGGGTGT